GTGTAGCTTTGGAGCCTTGCCTGGGACTCACTCTGTAGCCCAGGCTGGCCTCGAACTCACAGAGATCTACCTGGCTCTGCCTCTTGAGTGCTGGGATTAAAGGCGTGAGCCACCACTCCCCCGGCTCAAGAGACTGTCTCTATCCCCCATAATCTCCCCTACCCCGCATTGCTCAGGCAACCCCTGCACTGAGTTCTGTGGGTACAGTTTTGCTAGGGCTTCTACAGGTTAGAATTGTACCTACACGAGTCTTTCCCTAACTGCTCCATGTCATCACGTGTCAGGCGGTCCCCAGGCTGCCTGCCACTGGACACGTTATTATTTTGTTCTATATCTTGATTTTTGTTCTGTTCAGTAATGTGTGTGTGTGTGTGTGTGTGTGTGTGTGTGTGTGTGTGTGTGTGATATGCATGAATGCATGTGGAGGCCAGAAGTTGAATCTGTGTGTTTTCCTCCATTGCTCTCTACTTTTAGTGAGGCACGGTCTCTCGCGGAACTCTGAGCTTGCCAATGCTAGCAGCTCTCGATAACCAGACTGCCTGGGATCGCAACTGGCTACCATGCCTGCCTGGTGGGTTGCCGATCTGCACCCGGGTCCTCACACCTGCACACGGCACTGAGCCACCTCCCTGCCCCGTACTGTCCCTTGTTTATGGTGGACGATCCCATTACATGGATGCCGAGGAATCAAATCATCCACTCACCAAGAAGTGTCCTTCCCAGATTTCAGGGATCAGGATTAGAACACTGGAGGGAGGGAGGGAGGGAGGGAGGGTGTGCCCTACCCAAGGGCTCCTTTTCCCCTCACCCACCCTGCCCAGGAGAGGGAGGGAGGTCAGAGTCGGACCCCATGGCATGAGAGGGTGATACTACAGAAAGGCAGACTTGGGACCTGATAGTTGTGTTGTTAGAAGGACTTTCTAGACACTTTTAATGTCATCAGCCACCACTATTTGAGGGTCCACTAGGTCTCCATCAGTGAACCATCCCATCCTGCCACCTCCCCCACCCCCACCCCAACCTCCGTCCCTGCCACCACAGCTACAAACAAGCCCTCACAAAGGCAGGCAATTCCTTCAGGATTACAGAGCTGTTAGGAGCCAGTTAGGACTCAGCCCTCGGTTGTTAGCAAAGGCTTCTCTCTCCTCACACTGTCTTCCTGGAGGAGGCAGCCGTATCCCAGGAGTTCCCAAGGCTACCAGCAATATGGCCAATGGGGAGGCAACTTATGGCTCCCTCAGAGTACAAGAGCCCTTCCCACAGCACTGACTTGACATGGAAGGTCCCCTGGAAGGCTCTGCAGCCTCTGATTAGAAAAGTGTTCCTCCAACAGCTCTAAAATGTCTTAAGATAAATTTGGGGGGGTGGCAGCTGTAGAACCAAGGCACTCTAGCTGGGATGCCCAGGGCCAGGCAGGCCCCGGACAGACAGATCTGCTAGCCTCTACCTCTACTGTTCAGGTACAAACAACAACCAACTGACCTATCAGGTTCTCTCCATCCCACTCTGGGGACACTGCCTCAGCCTTTATCTGGGAGGCAGGGTGAAAGCAAGGCTTCAGCCTTCTGCTCCCTCAAACCAACCCATAGTCTCCCACAGTCTCCCACAGTCTCCCACAGCCCCCTACAGCCCCTCACAGCCCCCCA